TATATATATATATATATATATATATATATATATAAATTATAATATAAGTTAAAAGAAAAGAAAAAAATATATTCTTAGATCTATCTCGTTTATGATAACAGATTCGAAGTTTGAAGAGTAAGAAAAAATGAATTCTTCGAGATGGAAAGGGTGATTTTAACTGCGAGAGTACATTGTCACTGTCCATTCGTATGAACAGGATATGTACGAAGGACGACGTCAAGTAGTATCGACGTGGGAATGCTTGAAACGATACTAACTCCTTGACGTTGACAAGCGAGCAACATCGTCGATCAGTGACCATTAAATCGTTGTTTTAGGTAAGTCGTTTAAGGCTAGCCACCGGTTATCGCAGAACACTCTAGGTACAACGACATGAGCAGCAATAGTGGATGAAGTCTCTCTCATGCTTTATCTTTCTCTTTCTCTCGCTTTCTCGCATCTTTCGCACCTGCGGGCCATGACAAGTTCTTTTCTTATTATGGGAACCCGTACAAGTCGTGGAACGACGAAGAAATCGATCCACTGTCGCTTTTTGCACAATTATGCGCACTACTATACTGAGTTAGACTCTTTTTATTTCTTTCATCTTGTATCTCTGGCAACGATATCTCCTCTCTGACCATTTTATCAAACAAGATACGATACGACGAGTTACGCATCGTCAAACGAAATCGTCATTCGGCACGTGATCGATTAAGTTAGAAAAATCTATCTATCGATCACCTCCTCTTTTATATATAGGATTATTTATTAACCTTTTAAACGTGAACGACCAGTATACTCATAGTCATGGTGTGTGTGTGTGTGTGTATATGTGACAAATGTTATTATATCACATTTATTATTCAATAGTATAATATATTTTTATGACGAAAATTCTGCGAAAGATATTTGTAAATTTTAAATACTTTGTGAATTGTTTTGAAAAACAATGATGTCGAAATATTAAACGAAAGATAATTTTTCAATTGAATTAGACTCTGGTATATTTCGAGTGTGCTTAAGGGTTAACGAATAAACCGATACACCTATAAACGGATTTAAGAATGAAAGGAATGTATTGTAAATGTTGCGTATTTGGGTCAAGGAAAATGGCGTCGCGCAATTGATACCACAGTTTAATGGTATGATTAATGAACACGCGATGATGCATGAGATATTATTTAGAATGAAGATTCAATGATCGAGATGTGATAATAATCAAACGTCGATGACGTTTCCTCAATGTATGTTAATAATTGTAAAAGTAACGAGAGACCATTAAGAAAGTTCAAATACGAGGTGATCATGACGAAGATTAACAACGTTAGATCTATTCAATTTAAATAAAGTCAAAATGTCGAAAGGAAGCGTCACGAATACATTGAAAGATGTACTGTCATTCGAAATAAATACATTTTTAATTTATACATACCATAGATGTAATATAAATATCTTCCACCATTTTGATAATTTTGTAAAACATTTTAAATCCAGTTTTATTATATCGCATATTGACAACAATTATATAATCTAAAAATTATAGTATTATTTACAATGGTATATAATTAAATAAATAATATTAAAAATGCCGAACGAATGAAAATAGAAATTTTTCGGATCTTAACAAAATATCTCAATATACATGTATAAATTATTCTATGAAAATATATTTATATAATACTACATTTATATACTTATGTATTCGAATTTATATACATGAGTGTGTAAATACTTCGATGATATCTATCAGAAAAAAAGCAAAGCTTTTATGTCAAAGGTCCAAAGAGCGTAGTACCCTGGTCGAACCAAAAGGGTTGGTTGACTGGCAGCGATCGAAGATGTTTCTATATTAGGTGATATTGGCATGGGAAAGAAAGGGAAAGAGAGAAAGAGAGAAAGATATATTAAATGTACGTCGTAGCGTGTTAGGTATCATGGCGGTACACTCACTTCCGGAGCCGTGACTTCTATCGAAGCCTGTAATTAGTAATTACCGGTGAAGCGGCAACGCCAACAATACGGTATGATGTGCGTCTAGCTTAGAAGAAGGATGGAAAATTATTGATTGGACGTCGATGAACCCTATGCTAGTTTTGTCATTAACGGTCTTGGGATAATCGAAGTGTCCTATTAAAATCTTGTAACCTGTCATCGATGGGGGTGGGGGGTGGGTGGGTGGTAGTCGGATACTTTGTTAAATAGTTCTTTATTATTTATCCGATAAATACGCGATAGTTCGTTAAATCATATAATTATATATATATATATATATATATATTTATAAATTTTGTTGGTTCTCTAGGACAAATAATAAATTATTGAATTTGGATTTGCAAACACATAAATAATATTATACGCGTTTCTCTCCTTGGAAAATTATAGAACGGCCGTCATACTCGGAGGATGAGAGAAGGACGGCGACGGCGGTCGTCTCGAAGGTTTCTCCCGCTGACCGGATCGCCGGTTGTTCGGTTTTACAAGCAGAAAATAATACGGTATGCAAATAAAGGTTGCTAACCCGGCTGTGGTAGCCAAGCTGCTTCGACGTGTGTGCACACATTACGTTGCTGATCCTTTACGATATCTTCGTCGTTTCGACGAGTTGCCCTTCTTCTATCTTTGTTCGTATTCTCGCGTGTACACGCACACACGGAGAAAAAAAGAAATAAATAAATAAAGTAAGAGAGAAAGAGAGAAAGAAAGAAAGAAAGATGAGAATCAAGACGTGTGTGACGAAATGCTATTGCCTTTTCAACACGACGACACATTCTACGTTATCGACGGATAGTTGTTACCTAGTAGTAGTAATAGTAGTAGTAGTGTAGTAGTAGTAGTAGTAGTAGTAGTAGTAGTAGTAGTAGTAGTAGTAGTCGTCTATCATTCCTCGAACACCGATCTTACGCTAAGGGGTTGTTATCCAACTTGTTCGATCTATTTTATAAAAGGAACAGGAATAAATGTCCTGTAGTAGACGTTTAAGAAACTTACTGCGCTTTTAAACTTTTGTCTGTTATTTTACTCGTGCGTGACCACTTCCGTTTCTTGACCTTGAGACGTTTCCTCCGGAATCATTACGTCGCGAAATTACGCGACTTTGGTATTACTTTGACTTTTGTTGGATCACACGATATTAAATCGCGATTTCTTTCGTTGTTTTTTTTTGTTTTTATTTTTTTAATCGGTTCCACATATAAGAAAGATAAAATAATAGGTCGATCAAGTTTTGAAAAAGAAAAAAAGAAAAAAAACATTCTATAATGGAAACAAATTTGTGTACTATAGAAATTGTATAGTGAAAGAGAAAGAGTTAGAGGGGGAAGAAAAAGGTATAGGAGTTAGCATTAGTCGAGATGATAAGTTCTATTGTCGCGTACGGCCTTGTTGGTTGCGCGCATATTTAACAGACAACACACCAGAGTTACCTTTAAGTGCAAGCCATTGCTGCTCGCGCGAGCAGCAACAGAGTGCTGTTAATATATCCCAGAGAACGAGGTACATGACAAACAGGTTTCTATCTGGTGTTGTAGTCTGTCAAGAAGCCATTGAAGCGATCGGTGCCAAGTTGCTGTGGCAGGTGATTACGCGGGGGTCAAAGAATTCGCCGTAGATAAGCTGATTCGCGAAATCAAGGAAATCGTGCTTATGCATGGATGCACACCAATGGGAAAAGAGATGTATCTCATACTATATATATATAAATGTTATCATCGTTGAAGATGAATCGGGCTTGACGACTTTTCCATCGTCGACGGGTTCGAGTTTAAATAAACCATCTTTGCCAATGATAAACCAGTCGCACCACTTAGAATTTTGCCGAACGTTAAGATTTTCTCGTGTGACTGGTTTAAACTAAGGATTAGCTACGATAACGGTACCGAATGCGCAAGAGTATTGAACAGCAATAACTTCTTCGGATCTGTTTATTCTCGGACACCCTTTTATATACCTGTGTATTTAAATATATACGTATATAACTCGTGTAGGCGTACACTTTCGATGAATTCACGAGAACAACCGGATGAAAATATCATTGCCGTTGCGTATTAAGTTATAACTATTTTTTTTTTTCGATCGAATTAAGTAAACGATATGAAAATTAATTTTGGAATAGTTATACAAAAATAAAAAATAACAAAAATATTAAAGAGTATTTATAATCGATCGAAACGAATGAATGACTTCCTTTCGATTTTGTTTTACAAAATGTAAAATGACGACGCAAATATAATATTTTCTATGTAACAAATAGGTACGTGCGCACAGAGATGTGAAAATTCTTTTTAAATTAAGCTGAAATGAAAACATTTTTATCGTTGTTTAAATTCGAACAAGTGATATGTGAATCTTACGGGATAGTCGTAGGTAAATCTTGAAATAATTTAATTACGTTGCTTGAGAAAAGAAAATAATCGTACAACTCTTTCGCGTCGGTGCAAATGCAAGATCGTAATACGCATGAGTTTTGTTTTCTTTTTTCCTTATCTTTCTTTCTCTCTCTCTCTCTCTCTCTCTCTTTCTTTCTCTTTCTTCTTCTTTTCTCTTTTCCTTCGGTTACATGCGTGAGGATCGCCCGTAAATCTCATCAGATGTTGAGGCTGTTAAACGATCGTGTCGCATCCGCACTTTACATGACGCAAATACCTAAATACTTTCACCCTTTTAACGTTAAATATAAAATTCCAATTGTATTATCGTGAATTATGAACAGTATTAATTCAACTTGGTTCGCGTAAAATATCGTAAAGGATATATCGGTAGGATATGAGATTATTGGGAGGTTCGTTCTAGGTAACACCATGCTTACATACCGTTCGATTCATGTGTATAACGTAAGTACTTACCTACGTACCTTTCCTATGGAGAACGTTTGTACGAAGGCACGAAAATTGTTGAAGAAAATTACGCCGGACTGCTGACCCTCCTCCTGGTTCTTCGGTTGAGGTTAGGTCGTGTCACGGAGAAGCCCGTAAGTCCACGCCCCCATAACGATCGAAATTCATTTCCATAATTATCTCACGAACGCGGACTCACGGCTCGTTCGTTTCTTCCTTCGTTCGTTTCTTCCTTCGTTCGTTCCTTCGTTCGTTCGAATTGAACGTCGATCATAAGAGAACGCGCTTGGCCTCAATTCTTCTTTACGAGAACACGACTTTTTTGTTTATTGTTATTCGTACGTCTTTGACAAATTATTATTTTTCTATTTTTTTCCCTCCCCCTTAATATTTTCGTGAAAAAATTGTTCGTTGATTTATGAGAAATCCTTCATTTGATATTACGCACGAATAAGTAGTAGTTGCTGAATTTTTTTAGAAAATTATAAAATATTATTCATTTGTCATGGATATTTTTACGTATATTCAAATAAGAGTTTAAAAACAATCATAATTACTCGTAAATATTAAATCGGTTTAATATACCATACAGATTTCAAAGTGAGAAGATTATATTGTGTATTATACAAGAATGATGTAAATAGATCATCAAGAATGAAATTGTTAATTATGCAACTTTTTGTATTCGCGACATTCCTTCCTTTTGCTTTCTCATTCCTTCGTGTGTATATATACGTAGATAAGTAATAAGTATTTATATTTAGCCCTAAGAGTACAACTAAACTTTTCATCTTTCGTGCGAACGATTAATACTTTATAACGCATTTGCATATTTCCCATCCCCCCGTTTGATCATAAAGCAGACCTTGGTCGCTTATACGTAAATATATACGGTGATACCTGTTCTTTCTTGTTAACCGTTATTTCTAAAAATACACTACCTCCTCAATATCTTCCTCGTATGATTTATGATATTAGATTGAAATAAGTTTACTCGTAGTATATTTGTTTATACGAAACTTTAAACCTTTATTTTCTATTCAATCCAATTAACAATTTTTTATCATTTCATTTTAGAAAATTTCATCCCAAGAGTATATACATGCGAAGTTACCTATTTATATCACCAAGGGGTTGGTTAATCACGTGACAACATAAACTTGTATGGTTGTCGATGACGCCTATGAGATCGCGTGTGTTATCTTTGAATACATTTTTTCGTCATTTCGAGGAACAGTAAGAGCAACACGCTAACATATTTCATTAAATATTCGCGCATTATAATGTCGGACATTTTTATTGATATATGTAAAACATGAAATTATAGTATATCATAGTGATATAGGTACATTGAAACTAATGAATACCTAAGCAAACATTACACTTTATTTTTTCATCAACGATTATCAATTTTTCTTTTATTTTACCAATTTTTAAGATCACAAACTTCACCACTTACAACTTATATCGTTTTCCTACATTCTATTACATACTAGAATATTGTACTTAACGTCGGGATTGCTTGTAATTCCGTATAATTTTGTTATACTACTTGACTGTTACGTTATGTCACGTATTCACGAATTCTTTTCGTTATTATCAAATCCGTGCATTAATTTGCATTAATAATTCTTACGATTTGGTTTGTGAATAATAACAGTATCGATAACGAATATATATACGATAATTTTTAAATTATTTTCTTATCGTTATAATATCTATCCACTTGTCGTTTCCGACAAGTATTATCGTAAATCACGGTGCATTATTTATTACGATTCTTAAGTATACTTGCAACAGTTTATACAATTAATTAGAAGATCCGGCTTTCCTGTAACATTGATATGCATGAGAGAGACGAGAGAGGGGGTGGGATGTGGGGGGAGGAGGAGAATTCCAGTAGCAGGTTAGTACAAAAAAAAAAACAATGTTAAGAAGAAATAACTAATCGATGTTGTAAGAAATCACGTCTCGTTTCGAACATTTTTTAATAGTGCTGTAATATTCTTGAATATACTTGTAATATATGAATTACAAAATCAACTTATAAGCGACAAATGGGGATTTGAACGCGTATCTTTGTAACAAAGGCTAAGTTGTAATGAAAGAAAAATAATAATTTTGTTTTTTATGTTAAATATTTATATTAATACGATATTGCTATTGGGATTAATATAAATATTTGTTCATTTTCTCGAAGATCACGACAATTAATATAACTACACTTTGTAACTTGACTACTGTCAATGCATAAATCAATGTCGCTTACTGGTAATACATGAATATAAATATATTTGAAAATCTATTAATGTATTATTCTATATATTACGTATATATTATTATATTATTTCATTAAACATTATTCATAATTATAAATTTAACTGACAATGTGAGTGTGTGTATGTGCGTGTGAATATAAATAAAATTCGCAAAAAAATATATTTCATATTCTAACAGAGAGAAATTAAATAGAGGAGAACAGATCTTTTTCTTGATATTGCCGTAAGGACAGCAGAGTCCTTAGAGATCTCACCATGGTGAAGTCAAAATTGCGTGGGCGTACCTATACCCTTCGGACGCGTCGGCACATATTGGATGCATACACGCATAGGGATATTTCGCATACGTTCGCATTTATCTCGATGTAGTCTCTTTTAACGTATATAAATACTTACACACTTACACACACGTATATTCTTATGGTATACACGAGATACGTACTACACGAGTTAGTCCAAAGAGACTCGGAGCAGCAAATAGTAGTGTGGTGGTGGTAGAGAGCAGCAAGCATTTTCGTGTAGGTTCACGCAGCCGAAGTTAACCGAGCACCAGCCGGAGATAGTCGAAGTGTTCAGAGCCGGTTGTCGCGGGCTTGCCAGATACGCGCTCGCTCAGTATCGCGTCAGCTTCGAGTGGTATTGGTCAGTGATCTGAACGTCAGAGCAGGGCCGGCGTCGTCGCGGCTATTTTTTTTTCCCCCTTCGCTTCGTCGTTCGACTTTTTCTCTCTCTCTCTCTCTCTTTATTTATTTTCTTATTGTTATTTTCCCCTTTTTTAAAAATTTTTTTTTCTCCTTCGCGAAAAATCACATCGCTCATAAAAAACCTCGTCGAGTTTTTACTCTTTTGTCATCGTAAATAATTTCTTTTTTTTTTTTTTTTTTTACATTTTTAATATAATTATTTCCTAAAAAAATCTTAACGTTCCTGTTTAGTCGTTTCGGTTACTCGTTGGAAATGTAATAATCGAATATACGTATATGTATGCGTATATGAAGGGACAAAAAATAAAGGGATACATATTAGGTGCATATATATATATATATACAATAATATAGTGTGCTACACAGTGGAGTTAACAGTGAAGATAGGAAACAATCGCTTTTTCTTCCGAGATTTTTAGTACAAATCTAAGCGGAGCAACGGAACGACCAGTGTTGGTATGTTATTTTTTTTTGTTGAAATATTCTCATTTTATATATATATGTTTATTAATTTTTATAATTTATCTATATATTTTAAAAATATTACAAATATTAACAAAAATATATATGTATGTTTGTATATTTACAATTCTTTTTTTATTTTCTTTTTAGTTTCTTTTATTTCTTTTTTTTTTTTTTAAATATAAGTTTCATAAAATGGTATCCAATAACATTGTTGCACAAAAGCTTACCTCAAGCTACGACCGCCATGATAGTTGCGTTATTCACGATATCACGAAGAGTAGAGATGTTGATTGGTGAGGTAAATACATATTTTCGAAACTCGCGCGCTTATTCTCGATCGTTTAATTATTTTTTTCTATTTTAATTTTCGTAAGCGATTAACAGTGCATTGGCCTCGTGTTATGTATGTGTATATATATATGATTCTCTTTCGAAGAAGCTTATTTTCTCGTAGAAAAAGTGCTCTATCATCGTATTACTACAAAGTAGGTAAGGGTTTATAGTTATTTTGAAGACAGATATCAAAGACAACGTTTATAATCTAGAAAAACACGTTAAACGACTTACGTACGCATGCTTAAGAAAATATTTTCTAAAAATATGTATAAAATAAACCTTATTCTTTGTCATTTGTATTTCTTTAGTCTTATTGTTAGACAAACATTATTACGAAACAAGGAATTAGAGAATTTTCCTCGAATCATCTTTATGATCGTTGTTACGGAGTTTTGACGAAGGTAGTGGTTGGAAAAAAAATGGCGTCCGAGGAGGGCACACTCTCAAGAAAGGGGGGACCATCGAGAAGATCGTAAAAAGAGGAGAAGCCCGGTTGTGTCCAGTTTCTTTTTTGCGTTCTTCTTATTTTTATCTCACCGTTAGTAAGCAGTTATCGATAGGTCCGATTAACAAATAACAATTTTACCTACTAGTTTTTATAAATTCCCTATATATATATATATACTATTTATTATATAAGTAACATTTAGATGGAAACAAATTTCGATTAATAATTCATTTTAATAAGAATTATTTCAAAAGAAATTATTTCTTATAACATAAATGAATTTTTTATTGAAATATTGTTCTATGCATATTGGTATCAATTAGAGACATATATTATAGATGTTAAAGTAACATCGGTTACATAGAGTAATAGATATAGTACATTAATCTGAAACAACATTTTGGTCTCTTAAAATACGCGGAATCGTGTTTCGTTTACTGTCTCCTCGTCGAGGTTAAAATCGAATGTGTGTCACGTTCACCGCGGCGTCGATTAGTAATCGGAGCGCGCTCGCGCCAATTACGTTCGAAAAAGTCAATGTTACGGAGAAAGGTTTCGGTGCTGATTGCGTAATAGCCGATTCAGCATGTGCTTTACACCGTTTAAACACGAACGACATTGTGTATAAGTTGTATGCGTGTGTATGTGTATGTATGTATGTGCGTGTTCTCCATTGCATCGCACTGTTCTGTACTTTGCTGCACCGTTTTGTTCTACCCGGTTCTATTCTGTTTCTATTCTGTTCTATTCTGTTCTGCTTTGCTTTGCTTTGCTCTATTTGGATTTACTTGGCTTTGGAGAAAGTGACCCGTACAAACACACACACATATATATATATATATATATATATATACGTACGTAAACGCGTATATGCAGATTCATAAATCGTGCACGTGCTTTCTTGAACAAAGCGTTTAAACTGGCTTCTGATGGAAACTGGCAAGTAGTAATTTGAAAAAAATAAAAAAAAAACAAGAAAAAAAATGTTAACATAAAAGAGAATGTATATATGTTTATGATAAATAGTTTCCTGTTTTAAATTTATATTTTTCAATTTTTTTTTTTTTGGGGGAGGAGAAAAAATACTGATGCATCACGTGTTTCTTAGTATTTATTAATATAATACTTGATATTATTAACCATCGTGTATGATAAATGTACTTAAACTATCTCCTTGATGATAATCAATAGGTTACTTTAAAAAAGTAACAAGTAAATATATTTTTCTTCTCTCTTTCTCTCTATATATATATATATATATTGTTTTTGTCTTTTGGAAAAGTACAGATTGATTATCACTTTCCTAGTATTTAAGTGTAAAATCGAATCTATTCAAAAACAACGTGTTTAAAATATTTCAAAAAATGTTTAAGTTGTTTTCCTTTGCAAGATAATTTATCACAATTCGCTGTAATATATTTTTTTTCTTTTCGAATAAAAAGACACACGTGTCAAATAAATATAGAACGAATAGTACTCGAAAACGTTGTTGCGTATTATTGTGTAAAATGTTACTTATCGAAATCTTTTTTTTTCTTTTTTATCTACACGTAGTTTATTTTTATATTTTCAAGGATGACTAACCTCGGAATCGTTTAATTATCAATGGACATTAAAAAAGCTAGTGTATTATCGACAACGATCGGAATAGCTTATTAAAATAATATAATACAATAAAAAAGAAAAAAGAAACCTTTTTCTTTCTCCCACTCTCTCTCTCTCTCTCTCTCTTTTCTTCTTCATTACTTTATCTTCATAAAAACGTTAAATAATGTGGTCGAAGGTTGGACAGGTATTTCAATAAGCTGTCCGATATTGAACTATCGTCTCGATCGAACGTTCATGTCGTCCGTAAATCACTCGAATTATTTAGCTACAAAATTAAATAGTTCTTACACATAGACAGTAGAGAGAAAGAGAGAGAGAGAGAGAGAGAGAAAAGTTTATATAGATTGATGCACACATACATACACGGACACACATATACATACGTATACAAGGAGGGGAGGGGGGGAAACGTGCACAAAGTGTGCGATCGTGCATGGTAATAGACCGAGAGTCTCATCAGTGGCAAAAGGGTTCGAGACGATGAGAGTGAGTGAGTAAGAGAGAGATAGAGAGAGAAAGAGAGAGAAAGAGATAGAAAGCTAACTTTTTATACTAACGTAGCTAGGATAATATACGATATATACGGTGTAACGAGCTATGTAATGGGTAATAGTTCGTAATGATATAATGCTTGCATTCCTCACGGTCTCTGTCTGGTATAACAAACATTGTTAAGAGAAGAAAATACGTTGTGTGAGTTCTCTGACCGGGTTTTACGTTGGAATCATCAAATCGAAGAAAAAGTAAAGGAAGTTGAGGTCTACTTGGTCGCACTTGTTTGCCATGTCGAATGATAAAGAATTTCTGATAAACGTGGAAAAACGGGGATATGTAAACGTATAAGTAAATTTGTATATAGGTATATATATATATATGTATATGTATATGCACGTGCGAACATGCTTATGTCCGACCGAATTACGCTTAGATCAACTAACCGAAGATAAAAGGGGAAACGTTTATTCGTGCTGAGAACTTATATACGTATATAGCTTTAAACGAGATAAGATTAAAACCTAACGTATTACGTTTTATTCGACGACTAATTAGAACTCCTGATACACCCCTTGTTTTCCACTTCTTCGGAGATAAGACGTATCGAAAATAGTACGTCGAATGAGAGTTTCTGAAGCTTTATTACGAACAGACATGAAGATACTCGAATATATCTTTTTTCGAGAATAAGAATTATCGGTGATATATATTCGGATTATTATTATCAAGTACTTTTTTTCTTATTTTTTGTGTATGTGTGTGTGTGTGTGTGTATCTATTTTAAGATATTATTATACGATGCGCTATTAGGTTTTGATTAGAAGTTATTGGGTTGACTAATAAGAAATGTTAAAATTTGTCGTTTTATTTCGCGTATTAAAAATAAATTAATATTAGTTATTATTATTAAAGAGAAATGTGTTTATATATATTTTTTAATGCTATTATAAATAGTATTGTTTTAATAATTCTGATATTACCTATTTATTAATTAACCCGAATAATTTTTAGAAATAAACATTTAATTTAAAAGGGCAAAATTCTTGATAAGAATTCGAGTTGATAAACTAAAAAAAAAAAGAAAAATTCAATAGTTTTAACGAAACGTTATAGTATACGTACGAACGATATATATATATATATATCGAAAAAAGATATCGAGGTAAGATCCGAAATCTCGTAGAATTTTGTCGTACGACATCTTTACGAAAAAATAATGAAAAAATGTCGTAAGAGATAGATAAAAATTCCTCATTAATGTTTCTACTGACGAATAATTTTACGAATTATGTCAGGAGGTCGGTTTAACCCAAACGAGTTTCTACTCTTCTTCTCTTAGTTCGATTCATCGAACTGTGACTAGCAATTCCAACAGTTACCGACTTTCTACGCTAGAGTAAGCGCCTCGATCGAAAATACGGTTAACAAACACAACAACGTCACCCCTTTCCCCCTCCCGCCACCCTAATAGGGTGTAATAGAGTCTACTAGGTTTTCCTGGAATACGTGGAAACGAATTTTTGTTTCTTTTTTTCTTTTTTCTTCTTTTTGTACATTCACCTAACATGATTAATCGAAATTTCACGATAATTCCCTCGAAATATTACTAATAGTGATTGAATATTAATTTTATATAAAATAATTTATTATAATCGAGATACACGCAAGATTCATATCTAACAATAAATAAATTTCATTAATTTAATCTTTTTTTCTTCATTTTCATGTGAAACTTTGATTGGCCATTTTTAAGACATCGAAAGAACGTGGTCTACCGTACAATCCCTTACACCCCACCCTCACCCCTCCTGCTAATATATCTCCGTTAGCTTGACTTATATTCTTTGGATAATCTGATTACGAGTCAAGATACGATAGACAAAAAAATTAATAAATAAAGAGAAAGAGAAAGAGAGAGAGAGAGAGAGAGAGAGAGAGAGAGATAGAAAAATTCTGCCGGTAAAACCAGATAATAAATTAGAATAAATCCAAACGATCTTATTAAAATAACGATTCGCTCTTCCCGTCTCCTCTAATCGCGTGAGGGCGCGCGCGCGCATACGCGTATGCTCTCTCTCTCTCTCTCTTTCTCTTACTCTTTCTC